ACGGCGACCTGGTGTGAAGGGTGAAGAGTCAAGCATGGCCATGCGCCGTCAAAGGTGTCCCTTGGGGATTCTATGTGATCTAATTAAGAAAGGACCTATGATCAAACATCTATAGATAACTATACGGTATTACATGTTTCTATGTCTATATTATTGCTTATATTGAATGAATTTGCATGATATGATCTGGATGTGATCCATATATGACCTTCCCTCCCCAAGACAAACCACATATGACCACATCTTTGTTCCTTCCGCCTTTCGCTCTCGCGCCTGGTGAGCCGTGACCTGCTCCCTGCGCAGCAGCATGACGAAGCGCCGCGTGAGCGCCTGGCGGTGGACAAGTTGTCCATGCGGTGACCAACCCATTGGTTGGTTTGGCTTTGGCGGGTTTCTCCCGCCTATAAACATCCACATCCACATGTTAAATTAGTAATTAGATCGAATGCATGTTAAATTAGATCGCAAGCTTACCGCTCTTGACTACAGCGAAATGAAATGAGAACTATAAACATCCACATCCACATGTTTCAGCCATAGCCAGCTGCAGCTTCCGCCTCCAAAAGCTGCCGGGCCACCGCATGGTGCGCTGCCTTGGAGGCAGCTACAGCACCATGCACCACACCTGGGTGGTCGAAACATCGGCCAAAACCACGAACAGTGCCCTCCGACCTGATGGTGAGGTCCCCTGACTGCTTCGGACTTGAAAAACATCCGATCAGCGATAGAAGGGTGTGTCTGCTCATCGTCTCATTGCCCCCAACAAACTCCTCAGCTGCCACATCCTGGAATTCCATGGAATTCATTGAACATCCAGCCTCCTACGGTCCTACATGTATTGGTATGCCAAACATTGGCCAAGCAACAAAGCACTTCGATCGTGTCCGTGCCGTTGACTTGTCCAACGGTGCGATGGCCCTCCGGGCTTCAGTCTCTTAGCTCTACAGCAGGAGTCATGCAAACATGCCTACCGCCTACCTATCATCTCCTATGCGGACGGTCGACTCTGATGCCAACTGCTGTGCCACCGCTCTGGTCCTTCCTGTGCCTCCGTGCTAATGGTCGAAAGGTCTGCCAGGCCACCCAGGAGCCGCTGAGCCTTGGAACCCGCTGGGACCGCGGAGGAAGCGAAGAATGGCCACCAAGGCCACCACCAAGCGGTCCATGAACTGAGGCGGTTCGGGTGCAGAAGCACCTCAGCAAGGATTTGGAGGGAGCCAGTGATTTGGAGAGTAAAACTTAACACAAGAGCGACCTCATTGGTGCAACTGCGCTTTCAACCAAAACCAGGGAGCAACTAAAGGCTTAATTTGCCATGAAACTTAGTCAGTGAGTGCGACATTTAGGGCACCAACACCTTAAACACATCATGCGATCCACCCGTATTCCCCGATCACCGATAATTATTCGGACCTCTGCATGCACCGGACCTCCCGCTACGACCATCGGATCTTGGGGCCCTCGGCGAGCAAAGGCATGAAGCAAATTGGCCGCATGTCTGGGAGTGATCTCCTGCTTGGCAGGGCTCCATTTTCTTCTGTGTTGAGCTGCTCTGTGGCCTCTGTGCCACAAAAAAACACGGATCCCCGAGGATTAATGGTTTCAATTCAACCTATAGCTCTAGGCAGTCTATGCCTAGCTCTGTTTGAATTCGATCAGACCTCTGACCGGTGGAAGGGTCGCACAGTCTGAAGATGTAGGATCCGCTCACATCCACCTACGCCGGCCGACTCTCGGTCTGACAGTCAGGAATTCACACACACACACATTCCTTTATTGGTTATTTGTTTTCTGTGGCCTTTCTGTGTCAGACACTTCAACATGTCAGCATTATCAGTATTCTTGCGTTTGTCTTTCTGGTCTGCTCATTATTGTTGCGTTTGTCGTTCATAGTTGCGGTTGTGTTGTGTTTCCAACTCCGAGCAATCATTTCTGACTCTAATGAAACACCGAGCGGTCGCTCGGGGCGGTCGCTCCTCTGCTTGCCTCATGGAGTATGCTGCCACATGCCTGGCGCGTGGCATCTTCCCAAGCTGCTCAGGTGTGCCCAGCCCCATGTGTCAATGCGAGGATTCAAAAACTGTTTTGGGAGGATTGGGATAGAACTATGGATCATCATGGATGATCAACTTAGTTGAGGCATGCCACCCACCAAACACAGGATTCACAGCATGTTCGGAACCATCTTTGTTTGACTTTGTGCCAGTCTGCTGCAGATTGAACCTCTAGCTCTAGTGCTTCTTTGGTACACCTCTTACTTCTACATCCAAGTATCCCATGCAGTTCTCAAAGACCTCTCCCAATCCGCAGTCATGAAAAGACCTATATACATCTCTCTACAAACCAACGCTTGCTGCTTTCTCCCGCCGTTGAACGCTTTCGTCAACCCACGATCGAACGGGCACCGGTGTCATCCGGTGTCTGCGCCTGAAGAGTGTGGCATCATAGGCCCGGAGCTTCGAATAGGCTGACGCCTTCGAAAAGCCGCATCGCTGGTGGGAAGGAGGTGGTTCTTAGATGGCTTCCATAGTCCTTGGGATGGGATTTCATTATAGGGTCACTCATGTAGGTTTGGGGGCCGACGGATTCGGAATCCACGTGTGTTGGGAGGTTTTCCACCCTCATTACCACGAAGTTGATGGTTTAAGAGCCGAGGAAGTGCTCAAACACATAAAGGCTGGAGTGTCGAGCAGTGCTTGTATGTTCTGGTGGCTGAGGCGTCTCAAATTGAGCTGAGAAGGAGATGAGTTCACTCACCCCATTGTCACAGCAAACTAGCTACGAGATCAAGCACCCCACAAGTCCACAAGTGGAGTAAATCCGGTAACTGTAGCTTCTCAAAAATATTGACATAAATTACAAACGGTGATTCATGAAGGCAGTTGCACACAAATATGTGCTGCATATGGTTGGGGTTTTGCCAAGCCACCTGGCTGGCCTTGTAGAACTACAAGCATGCCAGGCTGACTACCAATGCCAGCTCTTGTGATGTCGCATCAGGAAGCTTCCAAAGAAGCTCCTGGCAGCCAAACGAGGCAAAAGGGTGTGTGTGCGTGCGTGCACACTACAATTACTGACACATCTATAATCTATACCAGCAAAAAACTGTCTTGTTCAAACCAAACAGGTGTACCTCCTGCCATCTCCTGCCAAGGCTGGCGTCAAACCCCAAATTGATGGACAAAAACAGGCCATGCACAGGAGCGCAGGTGCGGCAAAGATAAGCAACACACATATTATAAATATAGTTCCACAGTGTTATATATATATACATATTTTACTGTATTACTTATCACTTACAAGCATTACTTGAATTTCTTTGTTGTGCCGGTGGTGGATGACTTTGGACTATATATTCGTTTCAGAAAAGACTCGCGCATGTCTTTTGGTCGCTCGCGCATGTGTCCCGAGACCTCCCTACAAAGCCACCTCCGCACAATCCCGGAAGAGCTGCGGTGCTGGATGGGACAGGGAAGCGTAGCTGTTGCACATCAGTGCCAGGTCCTGGAAAAGGACCAGCCATTGGGAGGCAGGTTTTGCCGAAGCAAATGCCAAACTCTCAGCTTATTGTAAGACATGCACATGAATGCACATCAAAGACTGTGTCGAAACGTCTTTTCAATCGGTGGATCATAATTACATCTGTATGCAAACAATATTGAAAGGGTGATGCCTGCAAACCACTCAGTCCAAGCTGCATTCTATGGCCGGCTTTTGAGCGACAGTGGCCAGCTTGCCTGTTGGAATGGACCCAGCCAAGAACAATACGACTCTGTGCCCGTCTTTTCTGAGGCGGCCAAATGGGTTTGACTTGCCCTCGCAATGTACCAGGGGGGGTGATCCACTGTATAGTATAGCCTATAGCTGTTTACTACCTTCTTTTCGAATCATCCTCAAAGTGTCGATCAGTTTCCACCTCTTCAACCCTCCAACGCACCAGTCTGATCTCTCCTGGATGTTGAAAACGGTGAGCCATCCGGGGGTCAGGCGGCCGGCCACATAGTCCATCAATCGAACCTACATGCCAGGGCTGCTTCACCAATGTTTCTATAGGTCATGGGAGTTCGATGGATTTCTTCCATAATGACCGCAACCCCGCCACAATTCATGTTTAAACAACAAATATCAAAAAATGAGACACCCGGCCAAACGATGGAAAACACCCTCTCTATCTGCTCTATCCTGTGATGCCACCAGGACTCTCTCGCACTTCCCGAGGCCACGACATCTTTCACTTGTTTCCGTGCCAAGCTTGACAACACTAAGCTGATATTCCTGGCGGTAAACATCCGCACCAACTGGTTCCCTTTCCGACCACCAAAATGGAAATCTCCCAGAGTGTACGAGTCTTCCCAACATGCTGATGCAGCATGCACCGAAAAGTGTTCGTTTGATCCAGCTGCAGCTGTTGATGTATAAGTTGGTTGTCGTGGTGTGGGAAAGGCTTGTTTCAGACTGGACTTGCCAAAGTTAACATTAGAGACGTGTATGCTTCATTCGAAGTCGCTAGGTGGCAATCACCCAGAAGGCCGTAACGTTACGGCCCATGAACCCGTTTTGGCTCCATCACCACCTATATGGACCCAGTGAGGCTGGTGTCCGCCTTTGAAATCGGACTGTCCTGGGTGATTGAGACTTCAGGTGGTGGTAGAGCTCCTCACAAATCTCGGCCCAGAATCTGACATCTCCTCCGTGGAGGCACGTGACTCACCAGTGACCAGCGGTGAATGGAGATGGACCAAACAGGAGCTTTTTGATCCACTGCGCTGCGTCCAAGGACACTGGCAGGCAAACTTGCAGCGAAATGTTGCCAAGGTCATCAATGCCATGCAAGCACTTGCATGTGCACACACACACACACACCTTCTCTCAAAGAAGCGCAAGATACTACCTTGACGTTGGGCCAATCACCATAAGCACAGCTCAGTCTGGGTCAAACGTACCTCCCTGACCAAAAATCCGTCACCAAGCACATACCCACGCCACACGCTCTGGCAAGATCTTTTTAGGCCACCGGTGTGCTGTCACCTAAAAATAACGGGCTCCCGCAAGCCATCTCTTTGACATGCTCACCTGGGCGTGGCCGTGAACAATCATGAACACGCCTACAGCGTATTCCAAAGGATACATATTTGGTTGGAAGTTAGAACTGAATGGTTCCCTAGAAGTACCGATTCGCAGGTTTGTGAGCCCCTCAAGTCCAACATCCTCAAGCTCTGACAAGGAGAACGCGCTAAAGGCAGGTTTATGAGCCAAGGACATTCGAACAAACAATCCCGCCCCTCGCTGGTCTTCCCAGGCTTTCTTATCCCTTCGCAACAGCTTTGCTTGGCAGCTGTTTTGAGTTCACCGGTGCCCAAGTGCACAAAATAGCAGCCAAAGCTTAGAACGTCCCAAAACTCTTGGCACAAATCCAAGGTGGCGCTTTTGTGCCTACAGGGTTGCTATCAAACATGTCTTGAGGATCAATTAGTGCGTCGGACTCACATCATTATGGTTCCATGAAGTGGAACATCTATATAATTGTTATTCTTTCCTTTATATACACTGGGTTTAGCATCATAATGATCGGAGACACCCAGAAGTCAGACATGCAACCACACCCCATGCGTGTCTCACATACCCAGCCACGGGCGTTGGAGACCTCATTCGAGGACCGATGTGGATCGAGCAGGTAGCCGACATGACCGAGCCACCTGGCCAACTCAACTGAGAGGACCAGAACATGGAACGAGTAGCCTACTAGCGATGGCCTCCAACCTAAGAGCGATGGCCCCCTCACTAGCAGTGGGGTGTTAGGCCTAGAAGGCCGCTTGAATTGACAATAGCCAAAAGCCAACCATTCCACCACGAGTGTTGTTTTCCACGGATTGCCAATGAGTGGTGTTTCAAGGTCACGCCGTTGACAAGGTTTGATTTTAGATACTCAATTACTGGGATCGGCATTTCCAAAGTTTGCCCCCATGACATTGTAGACATAGATCGCGGCTGCAGCGTTTATACACATTGCGCAAGTATAGATTGTCATAGATCTCGCGCGCTGCCTGCATGACCCAGCACAACAGCCGAGTGAAGAAGACCGCGACACATTCTGGCCACAAACCCCGGGCACTGGTCATCTGCAATGTGCTTTCGAGGATGATTCTTGGATTGATTTGCGTCGCTGCGAGCCCTTAGTATTGCAGCTGTTAATGCTGAGATGGCTTCGCTCATCTAGAACCCCCAGCTGTTTCTGCAGACGGACGACTCATCGATGACCGACCGATGACGAACCGATCGAGTCTCGCCTCGCGGTGCAAAAGCCTCAAATCAAATGAAATACCTGGGCCACTCCCGGGTCGCCCGCGGGGGGTCGACCGTCGACACGGCCGCGCGGACGGAGGACCGTCCGGACGGAGGTCGACATGGGTTTTTCCGAACGACCAAGCGCGCAAGGTCGGATAGAAGTCTGAACTCTGTGGCCTAGGTGTGGCACACATGCCTGCCTAGGTGAGCTAGTGCATTTACATGCATTTGCAACCTACTTGCGAGGCATGATGGGACAACAAACTACAGTTTTTTGAACAAAAGGATCAAAACAACAGCATAGCTCGCTTGCCTGCACCTCTTTTTGACTGCAATGCATCGTTTCTCCCTTTTTGCTTTTGCTGGCCTTCACCAACCTCAACGAAAAACAACAAAAGACTGCTAAGCAAATGGTGGCTCGTACGTTGTGCTTCTCCTGAGGCTGGTGGAAAGGACACGACCCATGCAGTGAGTTCCAAAGGCAATGAATGGGGGAAGGTACTGGTGAAGCTCTTTCCTCCATCCAAGATCTGTCTTTTTCCTGGGACTCTCCATTGAATGAGCTGGACTCTCCATGTCCCTCTCCAAATCCGTTGGTGCCTGATGGAAGAGTTCCACCACCCAAAGAATCCCGAAAACGGGAAGCATCTCCAGTGGGTGCTTGATGGAACGCCATCTCAGGAGTTGGTTGGGCCACCTCTTCCCTCAAGCGATTCAAACGCCCAAAAGAAACATGATCCAATCATCTAAGAGGGCTTGCAGCGCAGTCGGGGGGTTGAAGCTTCTTCACCCCCCACAAGGCCTTCAAGTGCAACCAATAGACCCACGTGCGATGCTCCACTTGAATTTTAGGGGAGTTTTCTGAGCCATGCATGTATGAGTTCCTTCGTAATTACATGCAATTACCATTTGTGGATCGCATCGCAACTCTTCAAGATTCAAACATGCTGAGACATTCACACATGTTCATCTGCAGCAAGCTCCTGATACTTTCATTCCCAGGGCCAATGCAACACCGACAGACTCGTGCTTCATGTGTGAATGTAAAGACGACATCAAACAACCATGTGGACAGTCTCACACATTTCAGAGGCGAAGAAGGGTCCATAACTCGCGTCATCTTGCGTCCACTGAAGTCCTTCCATGTCAGAATTCGCCCAGTTTCTCCCCAATTTTGGACCTCCTGGAGGTCGGAGCAGCTGAAGATCAGCCGCGGCTCTGGTTGAACCAACCATGCCTTGGCCAAATTGAATCCTTACTAGGAAGCCTTCGAACTCAGTGTTTCGTGCTAGCATCAATGCCAAATGTGTGTTGCACTGTGTGTGGAACATGAGAGCGAATGGCTTCATGTTCAAAGTTAAAAAGAAGTGTAAACAACCTTCGTCTATTCTCCTCGTATAGGTGTGCCAAACAATGAAGGCTGGTGATGCAAATCACAGTTCCAGTCACCCCGTCCGACCCCACAGGATGAGACAAAAGCGTGACAAACGGCCTGGCCGCGACATCGACAGCGGCCTGGCCTTCCGTCGCGCTGTAGCCACCCACGAAGCCGGTGTCTTCACAGCCTAGGCGTTGAAGTCGAGGTCATGTGGTGAAGTCGGGTTGGCCTGGAGTGATTTGAATGAGACACCAACTTCTAAGCCTGACCATGGGTCGTTGAACAATCAGGATCCATATATAGATACCATCGGTTCGGTGTCATTAGGATTCACTTGCTTGGGAACATGCTCTATGACTTTGAGCATGAATCTGGATACTGTCTTGCACAAAGGCTAGGGGCTCGATTCAATGGTTTGATGAATCCTTGTTCAACTCAAGTTTCAATCACGGCTTTACTACTGTTCTGCATTCTGCATTAGGGTATCTGCAGTGAATTTGAGAAGTGGACACGCTGGCTAAAGTGTATCTCCAGCAAAGGACTTCTCCGAAGGGATCAGAACCTGATCTAAATTTGCGTGGGCCACTGACTGTTGAATTGACAAGGTCTGCAACAACACGAAAACATTGGAACAATTGGGAATTGAGACATACTGAGATATAATACTGCAGTGTAGCTCCCGAAGTTGACTCACTCGTGGCTATTGTGTGTAACTTTCTTTGTGCGTTTGGCGCACAAGGTGCCCACAAGTTCAATTCTCGCATAGGGAGCAAAACTTCAATCAACCTCCTGCAACTGAGGAAAAGTCGTTCTTGACACCCGCACTTTCGATCCAAATTTGCAATGGTCAATAACAAACCCACCATGCAAATGAGCACTGCACCCAAGCAAAACCAACATCCCTGCACATGATGCATGTTCAATTCAACTTCCAGAAACTCTTTGAAACATCTGACTAATGTAGACTCTTGAGGGCCATAAACCCCCCCTATTTGAATGGGTCTAATCCTCTTCAGGCTTGGGGGGGGTTATGGTCCTCAAGAGTCTACAGGATCCCTTGGATTCTCCACAGGATCGGATTCTCATCACCCAGTGGCCACTGTCCGACGCATCACTCTCATCGCTGCCCGGAACGAAGGCCGCAGTGGTGGCACCATCCTGGCCAGGACCACGCCATCCCCGAAGCATTCGATGTGGATCAGTTTTCCCGTAGTGCGAGAAAAGAAGCCAAGCCAAGCCGGTTTGTAGCGTTCCTCGTAAGTGTTCGGCGTTGTGAGGGTGCGTGTCTTCTTTATAATGGCCCTTATGCATGCTCATGCCGATATTTCCGGCTTTGAAGAAAGAAAAGCCCTGCCACCCCAATGAGTGGATGATGAACTTCTAGCCCACCCACCCCGATGAGTTTGATGGTCCTCAACCAAGGTCTGGATCAATAAGCAGGTAGATTCTGACCAGCCGGGAATTTCGCATCTGAAAAGATCACGCGTGGGTGACTCCATTTACATCTGGACAACTCGGACATGAAGCTCTGGCTTACAGAAAAATGTCCTTCCCTAGGCACAAGGGTCTTACTAAAAACACTGCAAAAAGATCACACAGGTTAAATTTGATTGATCTATGTGACTGTGTATTTCCCGCAACTTTCAGGTCCAAGTTACTCCGAGAAGCGTGGCTTGTGACCCATGATTCTAATCGAGAATTGAACCGGAGGGGGTTTGAGATGCAAATCCGCAGCTCCGACGATTGAAAGTACAAGCTTCCAACCAAATAAACATTTTTCAGACTAACCCTTTTCATAATCTTTCATGGCAAAAGCGCTCAGCTCCAGGGTAATTCAGAACCTAGCAAGACCATATATATTCGACCCTGCAACTTGGAAAGCATATCGATTGGGTCGATTCGGGCTTGTTGTTTGTGTCTTTGGCCTGATATATTGGTCTTCTTGTCACTCCCTCACAGGTCCACTCCGTGCGGCGTGACTGTTGGAGTCTCCGACGCCACGCCCGGGGGAAGGCCTCCGAAAAGACCTCATCTTCTTCAAAGCCAAAGTCCGACGGCTTCAGCCGGCAAGATGGAAGCGTACCTTGGCTGCACTAGGCTGCCCATCTGTTTTTGACCCTGCTAGTGAAGTGAACCTTCTTGTGAACAAACAAAAGTGAAACAAAGTGAAGCATCTTGGTCCTTTGCTAGCGGTGCTTACCGTCTTGATCAGGTGACAGCAAAAACCATGTGACGTGACAGCAAAGCTCTCGTGCTTTGCTAGGGGCACTAGGGAAGTTGAAATGTACCGTTCATCAGAAATGGTCGCAACACTCCGAAGGCAGCTCCATGACGAATCCAAGAACTATCGCAACCGATCGCATCTCACTCAAGGAGACGTGCACCTAGTCGTTTGACTGTATCAAACGACCCATACGTATGGTTTAACCATTGCTCCACCCTAGTCGTTGACTCCACCATTATTTCCACCATTATTTCCTTTGCTCCACCCTTTCAGGTCAGGTGCAGTCCATGCCCGACGCCTCAATTCCGGTGCTTTCGGTGGCACAGTGGATCGTCTCATCCATTTCCTCTGCCTCATGCTTCTCGGAAGTCCTTGGAAGGCTGGATTCGCCAGCCTTCACTGCATGACTTGATCCGGATTCCTCACCTGAGAAACCCTATCAAGCACTCTCATGTCGCGGTGTAGGCAACGTAGTCAAGTCATGCCAGGTCAAAGGTCCAAAACGAGGGCGGTGTGATGAGGAAACGGCATGGCAATGGTCACAGATCCTAACTATGAAGGTCTTGAGGGATTTCCTTTGCATACAACATTCCTACATGCACTCCCTCATTGTAAATATGATCCTCTGTTAAGAACCCTAAGTGTTGAGAACCCTAAGTCATCCTATAGTCTGTCCATGATCGTCCTCTTGAGTCACCCTCCTCGTGTTCCACACCCATCCGGGAAACGCACAAACATGGGCTCGCTGCAGAACAAGTGGCTCAGTTCCTGCAATAGCTCGCTCCAAGTCTAAACCTTAAAAGACCAGGTTGGAACCCCATTTGAGACCCGGTTTGCACCCTTGGTCGTGAGACACCTGGAGGACACGACCTGGTGGCATTAAGAGTTTTCAGTTCAACTTTTGGTGGTGCGACACATACGCTTGGAGAAGTCTGTGAAATACCCAGCTACTTTAGATCACTTCAGCATACTTCAGCCGATTTTCCTGTGTGTTGTTTTTTGTTCTCCTGTTGACTGTCATCTTGCACTGCTTTTTGTCTGAATGAATCACATCCTCCTCCTCCTCCTCATCATCATCATCATCATCATCATCGTCATCACGACCTACTTTGTAGGCAAGTCGCTTGCCGTGGAAGTACAGGTCTTTTACTTTTTGGCTTAGCTCTCTCCGTACACCAGCTACCCAAATGAAAGTCTTCACACTTGACATACCCTGTTTAACCTACCCATCTTTGCATTCGACCCGCTTTTTGGTGCTGCAGTATACATGAAGCCACTCATGATACGTCGTTTCAACCCCCTCCAGCTTTCATCACCGGGGATAAGTCACCAGGGCCAGGGGGGAAAAATCACCCATGACCAGGCCCCGGCCGTGCTTCGCGTCCGAGTCCGAACGCGAGGTCCGAGAGGCTCCGAGAGTCGATGGACGGCGTGGAGCTCTCAGAGACCACCGTGGAGACATCGCGCGAAGGCGTGGAGACCGCTGAAGGCACCTTCTCCTCTCTTGGTGGTTTTCTTTTGGGGAACAGGTGGGGCACGGGGATGGTTTTAGGAGCTGAACCTTTGAAGATTGATGGTATTGATGAACTGTTTCGGTCACAGGCTGCAGACAAATCGTCTATATAGTACTAAATACTAGACTGTACATAATACATATGCATACTGAGGCCTGGCGAATACCTCAGGAGCAGGAGGACACGTAGAAACAAACACTGGACAAACATGGGCTGGCCCTTCCTCTCGAAACACGGCGGTTTTCATGGCCCTTCCTCTCATCTCACGACAGCAAGACCCATGTATCCTTTTGAGGTCTACGAGGTGGAGCAAAATTAGGCCTTTCCAATCCCACAAGCACATTGGCACTGCTGGGTTCTATTGCAGTTAGTGCAATGTGCTTTTTCTCACCTGCCAATCAATAACTTCAGTTTTTGAGTGTCACTAAGGTAAACGCACAACTGCACAACTGCTATTTCTGTAGGTCTGTATGACACATTAGAGTAGTACGATTTGTTTGGCTGCCCTTTGAGAGGGGAGCCGGGCCTTTAAAAGGAGTCTGGCTGGGACTACTGAAGCTTCTTTTACACCAACAAAGCTGGTGAGCCTTCCTAAGCACCAGTAAGCCCCTATCTTAGGAACATCTAGCAATCTAGCAGCTTTGTAAGACTGACATACCAGTACTTGGATATACTTGGATGAGGCTTTGCATGGCTTTTCCACCTTTGTCCTCAAGTTAGCGCGCGCAAAAAACCTCCTAGTAGCGTCCTTGTTTCTAGCAGTAAGGTCACGAGCCCCTAGTGGCGTTCTTGCTCCTAGTAGCGATGCCCTTTGCTCCTAGTAGTGTCCCTTGTCCACTCACAATTGGCAATATCTTTGTCCACACTCCTTTCCCTCCCCCGCCCACCTCCTTTGCCGGCGTGCTCGGTAGCCAGCTGTTGCCTCGGAATAACAAAGGCGCAAACCGCCCAAAAGACGGTCGCCTCCAATGTACCTAAAAGGAACGGTGTTGGAGCCACCGGTAGCCTCCAAAGAACGTGGGAAGTTCCTATAGGAAGTGCTTACCACACCTATTCAGAAGTTCCGTCATAAACTCGTATATACGTCTTTTTTGGATTTAAAATTGGAACCACACAGTTGTGAGACTAACGAATGAAAATAATCAAAATCTGGACAGAGTAGAGTGAGCAACAACATGAAGCATGCCATCGACACATACTTCATTACAAGTATAGCATTAAAAATTGTGAAAATTGTGCACTTCATTTGGGCAGCAACATGGGAAGACGTCCAAACACTTGCCCCGTTGGTGGTGAGCAGTGCCCTTGGCGAAAACAGTTCTGGTATTCAGGGGCTTTCTTGGGCCAACCAGCCAGCCAAGCACTTTTCTTGCACGACTGCCATCAGACAGGCAAGGTCAAAGTCCAAACAACGAGCAAGGTTGTCAGAGCCGGGATCTGGCTGGACTCTCTGCCTAGTATTTCATGACAACATTAAATTTCCAAAACAAATTCATCCGACCATTGAGCTTAACTGTCCCTCAAAACATGTACTGTAGTTTCATGTAGCTTCTGTTTTTTCTTAGTTAATATATGAAAACCATTGAACATACTTCAGCAGTTGCAGCTTCTTTCTACTTGCTAGCCAGCTGGCTCGGACCTATTGCAGCTGAGCATTGGATGGGGCCATCAGCAGGTCCGAACTTATTCTCACAGCAGGTTCATGATTGAAATCCGATGAACTCATATGAAATCTGTATATTGTAAAATGTTCAATGAACGCAGCTGGCTGGCCCAATTGCATCCCGCGGATTGGAAAAGAGCGTATTAAAAGGGGTCAGGATGACTCTAAGACTAGGCCAATGTATGTTCGAGTTGTCCGTCCGTGTTTCGGCCATCCGACGACCGTCGTGTTTTAAGGGCGAGAGATCAATTGATCTGCCACCGGACGACGGAAATCCTGGGAAAACAGGTAGTTCTATGTTCAGATGGTCTACGTCTCGAGTGATCTCTTGATACCCTACTTTCTTCAGGGCTGGCCGTACCTCTCCACATAGGTAGGCTGTGGCTGCAGCATAACGGGCTGGAAATATTGGGGAAGTGGCGTGAGCTGAACTCCCTGGCCGGTTTGGTAGGTCACCGCAGGCATCACAGGAGGCATGCTCACTGATGGCATTGCTGGAGCAAGTGCTGCAGCTGCCGCACTCGTGGCTGGCTCTTGGATCATTGGCACCTCCTCTTGTGCTGCTCCACGGGTCTTCCTGGGTTTCTTCTTGTTCTCCTGACACCACTGCACCACAGGATGTGTACAAAAGCACTTGACTGGTGCTACTAGCCAGAAACAGCCGCGGGCCCTACAGGACTTTGCTGGTTTGTTGTCTCTCATTCTCGTACTTTACAGCTGGGATGCCAGAATTAAACGAAGACCAAATAAAAACAGAGATGACAAAGGCCACAAACAAAAGAACAACACACTCTCTGTATACCGCCTGCTGCAGTAAAGCCCGGTGTCTTGCATGAACGTGATACAAACCAAACACGAGTGGCTAGTGCTTGTTGTCCATCTGGAGCTCCCTTTCTTTCTTTCTTTCTGTCTGTCTCTCCATTGAATCCAAAACAAGCACATCCCAACTTGGAGATCGGTGAAACCAAGACGGTGATCAAACCAAACCAGCACGTTCTAAGCTCTGCCGTATCAGAACTCCGTGAGTGACATCGGGCCGGTCATTGCACCAGTTCCAGCAAAACCGGATGATCTCGCATCCAATATAGTAGCTTCTAAATAGATAGAAACGGTTTCCAATGCATTTTTTAGTGGGGATCTACTTGTCTATCTGTTTGGGGGTCTATATATCCGATCTTCTCTTAGTTCATTCTGCGTGAAGGGTGAACGCGGAAGATCCCAAACAACAAACACCACTTTAACTTACGTGATTTTATTGTAATGTCAGAGTGAGCAGGAAGGTATAGTACTTCGGACTTCGGTGTAAGGGTAGTCACCTGCCACTAGCCAAGTCCCTGTCCAGGCCTTCCCCCTTCAAACACCCACCGAACCCTCCAAAACCGCCGGTCCATGACGTAGTAGCTCGCAGAAGCGAGGCCCACCACGCTGGCACCGAGGCCAATGATGCCCGCAGCACTGTAAAGCCAAGAGTTGTCGGAACCTGCCGCGCCCACTCAGACGAACGCATCACCATGGTTACGTTGTTCACGGCATGGTCCCTTGGAAGACTACTTGCCTCTACTCTACAAACAGCAAAGGGGAACTTCGACTTCCGTGTTAGTGAGCCAGGTTTGCTGGCTCCTTTTTCCAATGTGGGAAGCCATCAAAAGCCATTTTCAGACCAGGAATAACCGTTAGACCAGTTGGGGCGCCCCCCTTTTTGACACACTTTATTTTGCGAAACATTTTGTTCAACTCCTTTGTTCCGGTCTTAGGTGGGATATGGATGCCCTCTCACATTGTTGAAGACCGCATCCTTCACCACAATACATAGATATCTGGACATTTTAATGTACATGTACATGTCTAATCATGTGTATATTATTGAAGAATATAATATATATATATATATTTATATGTATTTATTTAATATATGCCCCATTGTTTCAAACACAGTGTGCGATTTTGAGGTGTTGGGAGCTCCTCCATCAAACGTGGGGAAACCATTTCTGGTGAGATACCAAAGTGGCCCGCATGAATGCATGGTGTAGGGTGCGTGTCATCTAAACTCAATGTGGCACAACAATCGAAGGTCCATTTTCTTCTGAGATCGAAGTATCGAGGAACAACCATCAAATTGGTGGAAAATGATCATAGATGAAGGAGTTCATTGGCCTTGCAGATTCCCCATCCCAGCCCAGCTTGCTGCCGGCTGAGGCACTACTACCTGGCGAAGCCACCAAGGTTGCCCCCTTTTTGGCTCCAATGAACACCTCGTCAGTCTGCTTTTTGTGCACCTGGAGCGGTGGGCTCAGGGCACGTCGGCTCCGAGTGAACACAAACCTCTCAAGGCTCGATCCGGTTGCGTTGAAATAGCTGGCACTAGCTGAGACCATCTGACAAATGCCGAGTGAACCAACTTTTACTGTATCTATGGACCATTGGTACAGTCCCTGCTAGGACATGTATGCTTTGCATTGCTTTGCTAATGATTTAATTGAACAAATTAACATTCCCGCTGCCAAGCGCTACTACTGCCACCTGCCACTACTGCCACCTGCCACTACTCTTGATACTGCTCCTGCTTCTTCTGCTCTCACTCATTTTTCTCCCACTGGTGGCACTGCCACTACCCAGGAAGGTTTTCAGGCACCCAAATCACGTGGTGGGCTGCGGTTACAAGGACGCTTAGAATCACCAACGGCCACACCCAATTCAATTCCTCTTATCCTGCATAAGCTATAGTGCTTGCCTTTTTGGAATCTATTTTAGGTACATAAGTACCTAATTATACTAAAACAAACCCAACACAATATACAAAATAAGAACATCCCATAAGAATGCAGCAACTATCACAACCTATCGCAACCTACCGACTATCTACCACTATACTTGCTCCCGCCCTTCAAAAGCCTGGTCTGCAGCTGGTCCGATGTGTCCATCCGATCACTCCAGCCTTCGCTGCAGCCTTCAACTGGACCTCCAAGGACTTCTCCACCTGACTTCTGAGCGGTCAGGCGGCGTCCCGAAAAGGGCCAGGCCAAAGGATCCCGGACGAGTCGTGGCATTGGGGCGCTATGTACATCTAGTTCGACCCCCCACGTGCCCCGATCACGGTCCGAATAGCCAGCGTCCGTGTCGGGAGGATTGGGTCTGGTTTTTTCTTCGGGTGCGGTTTATGTTGGTTTGAGGTGGGCTAAAGCATATCCTGGTCAGCCCCTCTGCCGAGCCTGGTGATGGTGCCGTCCGACTCTGCGTTTCCCCCACCGGCCTTAGCCTCACATATTGGGGGCCCACTGATGGCAGTGGGGTCGGAGGTGGCCGTCGCATCTGCGTCGAAGATTAACCAGCAGGCATCTGCCAAGGGCAAACAAGTCATGCTTTGTGGTGGACCTGCGATAGATGACCTAGCTCCAAATGACATGTGACATGAAAAACAATAACAACAATTATAATCTTTTGTTGCCTCAAGTTGTAGAAGAGCCGAATTTATATGTACAGTGACTGGGTGGTGTGCGGTGGAACCTGCAGGCCTGTGCCGTCTCTTTTCCAGGTGAACTTCTTGCACATGGGATTCGTAGCGCAGCTCGTCTGGCATGCAAAGGCGCTGGCCAAAAAAGCACCGTTGGGGGCAGCGGCAGCGGGATGCTCACCGTATGCAATGCCTCCGCGCATCTTTCCCAAAGAAACGTCCCAAAGATTCACCCTTTCTTGGAGCTAAAACGCCTTTGACCTCTACGGGTGTCCATTGTTTGTTGGAAGAGGGGAAGCTTCTGGTGCCGGTTCGTCGATGCATGCCGACTCCAGCGGAGACTTCGGAAAGAACAAGCACACAAGACAAAAACAACATGATTGTCAATTCTTCTAAGGATACTAAAGCTACTAAAGCATGGTAGTCACTCACTACTGGTCGCATAGACATGGCCTTTGGACCATGTCAACATCATTCCTCTAATTACAAATATCGCGCCATTCTTCATGTCTCACTTCACCAATTTCACATGAACAAGCTGCTCATCTCGCCAGTCTTATCCAAATCCGCTCCCAACCGATCCGGACTCCGCCTGGCGTGGAGCAGCTGGGATGCCCTGGATCCGAGACGCCTGAGACCAAGGGCAAGGCCAAGAGCAGCCGCAACATGAGGCCACTCGGCGCTATGCAAAAGCGGAAGCAAAAGCGTTTTCGGCTTGAGCCACGCTGCAGGACCCGAGAACAACATCCGCCAAGGGCAAGGGATGGCTGATATTCGAAATCCAGCCAATATCAAGTTGATGACGCTTTGATCGGAAACGATCGAATCGAGACCACGTTAAGTTACAGTATGTTACAGTTACCTCAAAACATCCAAGATCATCCAAGGTCCTCCCACTGACCCGTCTTTTTGGTCGCTTCTCGGTGACACTTTCAAGCGACTCCAACCGTGCCTAGACCGTGCCGGTTCGCTCCGCTTCGCCGGGAGGCTCTGGAGCAAATCCACCTCTGCGCCGATGCGGTGAGCCGCGTTGAGGAGGCTGATCCACTGAAAGGCGTCCGGCTCTTCCTCCGCCTCCAAACGCAACCTGCGGAGCGGGATCGGAGCCGGGTTTGGAGTCTGAGTGGAGTGAGTCTGAGGCAACTCTGATGCAGATGGAGGGGTTGGAACGGCGCAAAAAACACGGCATGGTTCGGCTCCCAAAACGATGTTGACCGCCCCCGTGGGGCCTTCATGGGTCTTTCAAGGTCTTCCAGTCTTCCGAACAAGGAGATGATCCGAAGCACCCAAACTGCTGCCCCAGGGGGGTGAAATGTCTTGGGATTTCTAGGGGTCTGTCAGAAATAGATAGACATAGAGGATGGAGCACTCGTTCAGTTGGCGAGGGAGGTGTGAAATTGAAGTTGGCCTGCCTGGGAGCTCTAGACAGGCTGACAATCTCCTCATTGATGACAAAATATGACAAAACAACAACGATGCTCTTCAGCGCCCACAAATGCACACACACAAGAATAACTATGTCGTTTCCTCCCCTTCTTGGAGATGCCGATGTTGAGTATCCCCATTATACAAAACGAAACATAAGATGCTGGCAATAATACGAACTCCAGGTCGCCATTTGAGACAGCTAGTGACTCCATCGATGTTTGATTTTCATGAGGCAATGTGCTAGAGTTGCAGCTGTTTCAGCAATATGTCCCATTGCGATGATGGTCAAAACCCACAATCCCACATGGTCCCACACCTTGCACCAACATCAAGAAACACCAACAGCAGGCTCTAGGCTCAAACTTCCAATCTGAAAACATTGGTTTGCTCTACGTCTATGGCTTCTTGTTCTCTTGAGAAAAAACATATATATATATATATATAGGGTCTATCCTAATACCTGTAACAGTGGATGATGGTTAGTAAAGGCCTTGTTTTAAAAATAGTGACACTTGTTTACTGACTGTTACAGGCAAGACTTAAGAACGGACAAGCCCAATATATATGTATATATATGTATTCTTTCCTGAGGGATCCCCAGTTCCTCTTCCCAACGGGTTTTGAAAGGCGCCTCTTTCCTTTGGTGCGAACCGTGAAGGGAAAGGTACCGGGTAGGTGTCGCCGAAAGGGTCGTGAGAAGCCATGCTGCCCACAATCCTCACATCGATATGTCACATGGATCGACAGACACATCTGAGTAGTCTGAAAAACATCCATGGACATGGAAGGCCGCCTTGGAGCTAGAGTGTAGAGAGGAACATGATGAGGAAAAATTGGACGTTCCCACTTCCATGGAGTGTACATTGAAGTGAGTCTGCCAAGTTGAAGTGTCTCTTCACATAGAAGTGGTGTTCTAGAAAAGTGTCCATTTCATGTATCGAGAGGATGGGCAACGGCTCCCCCTAGGCCTGTAATGGAATGGACTATACATACATTTATACTAGTCGTTCAAATTCATTCACCAGCTGAATCCTCCAAACAGCAGCGGGTTGGCCGTGGAGGCACCAAGCGACTGGATCTGGATCAAAGTTGTGCCCCAGATGAGCTCCCAAGATGTCGGCAAATTTGATCGGTGTGGACGCCTCCGCTCGGTTTGTGGCATGAAAAAGGGGGTGAAAGGATGTGAAAGGCGCGAAGGGTTGGTGCCATGATCAAGCAGCACAGGACCTGAAAACACCACTCTTGAGTGGAGCTCGACCCTGAGGAGCCTACTGATACTTCGAAGCAAAATGGTTTCCGCCCCTTTGCTCCTAAAGCTCCTAAACATCCTAAACAGTGTTAGGTCTCCGTCTGCCGTGCAGCTGAGGTCTCAAAATCTGAAACCAACCAAGCCGACCGATGGAAAGAATACATCAATAGAAGATCTTGCCTGAGCCTGCCGGCTCTCGGTGTGAGTGTAGTAGAAGAGACGTTTGTCGAAATCTAGGGTAAAATACCTGGGCCACACTGGGAGATCTTTCGAGATTCATTCGGAACATCGGTGAGAGCAATGCGCGATTCATGGCGGGTCTCTGGTGTTTGGCTGGTGTAAGGGTCTGGTGAAAAACTTGAGACACTGGTCTCCAACAAATTCTACGGTTTTCTCCACTTCACCTACCTTCCTGTTGTCTTGTTTCGGACAGCGGCATGCAGGTTTATAATCCGCCTTAGGCTGGCCTTAGATTGTACCAGAATGCAGCCATCATGTCACACTTACAGGGGCCTAGATCACAAAGTGCATGTGTATATATATATATATACTTCACACCTGTCCTTCTTGCTGGATCGCGGCATCAACTTGCCTACTTCGGATTTTGTATGTATAACATAAATCTGGCTACATATTTATAATGACAATATCCTAGTGTCTGCGTCACGTGATTCGAGTACGAAGAGTCTCTCTCTCTCTCTCTCGCTATTGGGACGGGCGATGACAGACGATCGATCGACCGTCCCAGAGGTCACATCACCTCAGTCGCTCCTCATTTTCCTGCGGGTTCTCTCTCCCATGCGCTCCCAATGCCTCTCTTTATTCCCTTCAGGTTTCCTGCCCTTTTTCATCCTTTTTCCGCGTTTCCTTCACCTCCCTGTTCAGCACCCAAGCGGCCGACGCCCCACGCTCTGAAACCACTTGGCGTTCGCTCCGTCACTTCGCGCTTTGATGAGCCATGCCTCGCAAGACTTCAAAGGCAAAGGACGAGGCATGGCGTGATGTGGAGAGGCCAGAAAGGATGACTTGGCTATACTTGGCTTCTAATGTCGACGTAGGATTAATCACCCCCCCCCCCTCAGGGTTTGAGATTGGAGGTTTTGGAGACGACATCCCCTTAATAAAGATGATGACCTGATGATGGATGATGGTTGATATGATTCTGTGTGAACATTGAGGCCTGTGAGAGGGGTACCCTTTGTGAGCTAGAACACGTTAAGATTTTGATAGAGTTTTAATAAGGGGAAATGAAATAATTTTGCTCGAGCCGTTTTTAGGGACCAGAAGATCTTAGATACTAGCCAAAAAGAAAGTAATGGTAAATAAATAAATTTTTCAAAAAACAACTTATATTTATTTTCCTGGGGGAGCTGGGCTTGATCAATAGGGGGTTCTGGCAAGGAACATAAATTATCAAGGGGAGGTTGCAGGGTTTTAATTAGTTTAGTATTGGAGGCTCCAGCTGGGCTTGATGAATAGGGGGGGTGGTCAATCCTATGTTGACATTATATCATCTATCAAACCAAAGGGGACATGATCTTGAAAGCACCCATCAAATGATGTTGAGTTGACCCACATTGGGGCTCCTTCTGCAGGGTTGACTCACTACATGCTCAAAGCGATGACAGCACTTGGAATGACAAGAATACAAAAAATCGCCAAACATACTAAAGACACCTTACAGCCTTACAAATCACCCATGATACTGACATCATCCAATCAAAGAAAAGAAAACAGCTTCTTCTTTCCATGTGGACTCAGCCCAAGTGGCTGAAAATCGCCCCTTCTGCGTTATCCGTGGATCCTTGGTGGACTTCTGGGGCACCAAGTACATCGCGTCCCGCCGGCGCGTGACGCGCCCACTGACGCGTCCGGCGGCCGCCCGCGGTCTTCGGCCGCCCGGTTTCGGCAGCCCACCGCGACGCCGTCGAGCCGAGCTGGGGTCGATGGGCCATTGCTACCAGGGGAGGGGCATCCCAAAGTGTCCCAGACAATTTGGACAAACAAAGGTGAGGCGTTCAGCTTCTCAAAATCAGGGTGAATCAGTCCGCAGGTGGTGAAAGTACATTCTTGTATGGCTTTGGGTGTCACTCCTGGTAGATATATAATCATGAGAAGAACATCGCATTTGACATCAGGTCAGTTTCTACTTGTGGCCGTGTCAGTGTCGGAGTACTTGTCGGAGTCAAACAATCATTCTGCACTAAGTCATGGGGAAAAATCAGAACCTATTCAGCTGTTGAACTTGGAATTGGATGTGGTGCCCGCAGTCAATGTTCCTTTCACCAGCATGGCCACATCAACACGGTGGGGCACCATGCTGGCACCTGGCATAACTCAACAACCGGAAGACCGGAACCTCAATTTGTTAAGCGAGGCTTCCAATCAATCTTTGCGAGAAGGTCAACCCGCACATGCTTCTTGACCGTGTCCAAGGATAGATGTATCTCTCTCTATATATATATATAATTATATATACTATACATGTCATATGTATATCTAAAAGTAGATTGAAAGCTCCCCTGTAGTTCGAGGACACGGACGTTCCTGACCAAATTCCGGAATTGATTCGATCACTGTTTTGTTTTTTCCAACTGTTTCCCCATAGCCCACTGTTCGCGTTCTGAACCACGGACGTCCCATGACAATCAAATACAGCTTTCTCCTGGATGGTTGCGAGTCAAATCCTGGCACGGACCATTCGTCTCGCGTTGATGCGGAACAAACCACCGCGGGCGATCGACTTGAGGTTGAAGTATGTACACACAACCCGTCAGATTTCTAAACTCATGGGCCATTCCCTTTCTAAGGCATGTATGAGAGAGCATTGACGGCCAAGTCAGTCCTAGCAAAAAACGCTCACTTCCAATCATTTGTCTATCTTGCTGGGGGTCTCTCTCACCAATTCCTCAAAAAAGGATAGTGGTGTTTTACACACACCATCCCACGGCGCTCAGGTGTACAGCTCTCTCTTTCTTCTCTCTCCTTCTTTGTGGCTGACTTTCGGCCCCCACCCGGTCCTGCCAGCTGTTTCAGCCAGAAAAAAACCGTCCGAAAACATGCGAAACATGAAACCCATGTTCTAAGTAAAACAAGACTTTCAAACACATCTTTGAAGAAATGTTGCTTCGCTGCTGGGTGGGGCCTTCCTCTTGCTTGACCTAAGACTAAAACGCCCAATCCAGCAAAGAAAGGTGGCCAGGTTGGCCTCCGTTCTTGCCCAAAAAGAAACGACCAGCCCTACTTAGGTTGGACGGAGTTGGACGACTTGGGATCGGTAATCAAGGGACAGGATCTGTGAGTGTTGCGAGCAGCGACAGCTGGCACTGTTTCAGCAGCTTCAAGTGGGAAGAACCAAGGACAACGTGTTCATCTTAAGGGATCAAAAAGCAGGATGTCTCCCATACACGGCTGAAAAGCGCAACTTCCACCCAGTAGCAGCCTCCCCCAGACTGGTCTGAGCAAGCACACAAAACATAACAAAAACCATCTGCTACCACAGTGGCAGTGGTCACGACCGATCCAAAACTCTCCACCGGCCTCTGAAAGCTCACCCCGGGAGGCCCTGGCGAACGAGAATGGAACAGGTTTGGCTGTGGGTGAACTTGACTGTGGCCTGTTCAAATTGAAAAGGCACAAGGAATAGCTGAAGTGCTGGGCAAGCACTATCTTTCATGATCACAAAAGAACACGTAAGCGACTTGTGTGAGCACTTGTCGGCTTCCTTCTTCGGATAAACGTCAAACAATGCCAACGAGCCGATGGATTGTAGGGGCCTGTCTGACAGCCCACAAATCGATCAACAAACAGTCAGGGTATATCCATGCATATCCATGCTATCAATTGTCAACGCGAGCCGTCAATCAATGCATTGACAACATAAAAATCTAAACATGGTAGAGTTTTGAGATGTTCAATGTATACAAAAGACAGTACAACAACAAAAAACATGTTTAACACAAGGTTCAAACAGTTCTAAGGAATCTCAACCGTCTTCAACAGCTAGACTAAGATCTCCCAACCAGCCCTCCACCTTCGGCCCTCCCCGGCGCCCCTCTTCCACCGAAGCTCCTGTTTTCCGTTCTATTTCTTCTAGATCAGAACATAATATCTACCATATGCTGTTCCTGTACTTAGCTTCTTGTTACCAGCAGTAAGGCCAGGAGCGCCTAGTAGCGTCCTTGTTCCGTTCGTAGCGATGCCCTTTGCTCCTAGTAGCGAACCTTGTGATGGGCTTCCCATGGCATGGCTCATCCGCTACAGCGCCTCAAGGCGACATCGCCCAGGCGCTGCTTGTAGCGAGCCCGAGGAAGGCTCGCGCTCACGACGCTCACACCTGTGTCACATGAATTCCAAAGCATTGTGATCCACATGTTGGATATATGATGCTATATATGATATAGTGCCTTTTGCTTGAACTGTCCTGGTAGTTGATCACACCTATCAAACTGCTTTTAAAGTATTTAATGTGTGAAGTCGAGCACACATCTCCTTCTTAGAAAAAACACACGGCGCAGCAAACGTAGTGGTGTAACAGGATTCCTCAGGTCCTCTAATTGTTTACGCAATAGCATGAGCGATGCACAAACTGGAAACACCTCGATAAATCTGCAAGCAGAAGAACTTTGGGGTGCGACACACCATCATGATGCTAGTAGCCGGACACATTGCCAAGGCCTCTTCGGCCAGGCCAAATTCGCAGTCCATGGTGGGTCAGCATGCAACTTGGGCAACTGAGAGAGAGAGAGAGAGAAAAAAAAAATAAATTGAGCACTCTATGTGAGTGTAAACTCAAGGTTGCAGGCATTGCCACGATGTTCCTATTTTTGCTTCGGTTCGCGACGATGGCCGAAAGGAAGTCCAAAGGTGCATTGATAAACCCTCGTAGAGCATCTCAACTACTTGTGTGTAAAGAACTTGCCCAGTGGGCCCGTGTTTGGTAGTCACTCCACTTTCATCAAAGCATCCTTGGAAAATATGTAAATTATCAATCAAACACCGCCTCGCTTGTTGGTTCCGCAATGGTGCTGTGTCTTTTTTGCTGGTGCTGCACGTGGCAACCAGTTGGAATGATCTGTTCTTGTTTGTGCTGCTTGCAATTCATATCTTGTCTCTTCTGCCTAGGTTGGACTTGATGGAAAAGCACGAGGCGGCTTCTCCGTTAGTCTGGTCAGGGCCTGTAAGAGTGCTATTCTTTGTCCATTGCTGTCTCTATACTTTATGCCAAGAACCAGCAACATAGAGCACTCTCCTCTCAAACAAACATGGTCGCCGGCAGGAGGACTTGGCCAGTTATGTTTGCTATATGTTCACGAACTTTCTCATGTAAGTTGCCTTGGCTAAGGGGGGGTTCTGCGCATATATATATATATATAGCAGAATTGAAACCAATGACAAACCATCCTTCCACCTCTTCAGCTACCGGCCAGTCATCAGTATACGTAGAACATACAACGTTGCGATGCCGACGCTGGGTTGTACCTGCCGGTGCACAAATAGAAAAGTGTACCAAGTTTTTTAGGTGAAGAATGGTGCACGAACCAAGAAGTGTACCTAGTTGAGGGGTGCGAGAACACGCACAACCTTCGAGAAGTGTACCAAGTGAAACCAGAGGCCATACGAAGCCCTTTTGTTCGAGCGCGGTAAAACGACCGCCTTTGGTTTTGCGGGTTATGAGCCCAACGTTCGGTCGTTAGGTGGGTAAGACCACCCAGTTGAGGTCGCGCGGACCCACTGGTCGTTGGCTCCCATGGCGAAGCGCGGGGCGGCGACCGCGGCAGCTGCATCCTCGACGCCCGAGGAAGGCTCCATGGAGAGCGCCAAGGAAGAGGAGCAGCTGGCCATCGAGGACTACCCTGGTGGGGAGCTGGTGCTGGCCGAGTCGGTACCTCGAGGTCCACCTGTGGTCTATGGACCTGCCCGACGTGGCGATGGTCGTGAAAAGGAAGGGAAGGGGAAGGGACTTCAAGGGAAGGTCGTCACCAACCCCTTTTGGAGCGAGCGACTTCAGAATGAAGTGATGCTCCGGGCAATGCGGCCTGCAGCGTTGCCGACAGCGGAGTCGGAGGCGGGTTTCCTCGAGGGTCCTTCGACTTCTGGACGGGTGGAGCCTGGAGAGGAAGGCCGAGGGATCTCGATGGACATCCAGGAGCTCTTGAAGGCGGTGATGACACAGAATGCAGCCTTGAAGAAGGAATTGGCTGAACTTCGGAAGACGGTCGAAACTAAGGCGGCCAAGGCCATTGAGGACAAGCCGCGACCACCGACGACTACACCACCACCTTCACCTCCTAAAGCACCGCCACCGGTGACACCTGACCGTGGGAGAAAGGAAGCTCTGGGTCAGGCATGGGCCGACGTGGAAATTCCGGAATTCCCGGTGGGTGGCATGGAGACCAAGCCGATGGACACTATGAGGAGAGACGGACTCCAACGAGGTTCGGGAGTACCAGGAGTGCCAGGTTCTTGGGGAGCTCAAGGGTGGGGACTACATCCGGGGCGTCAACCTGGCGAAGAACCGGGACATCATGGAGTCAAAGAGGGGATGCAAGAGCTGATGAAGGGCTCTCCTCTGGAACAGGCGGCACAGTCAGTTCTGAGGCAGCTTGGAACGAGTTCGTCGGATGGGAACTGGGGGGAGGCGATCAGATCGGTTGAACTTCCACCTTTGCAGGACCTTCGAGAAGGAGATCTGGGCTCGTTGATCCTTGGAGACTGGATTCAGCTCATCACGCCGACGATGAAGGATTTGAGTGCCACGAGTTGGAAGTGGTGGGAGGAGGTGTTGAACCTGGCCATGGTTGCCTATCGAGATTGGCTTCAGGCTGAACCCGTACAGCGCTTGTATATCAGGCCACGAACTCCTCCAGAGTGCTCGGGGGTGTGGAGCCGTCTTGAACAGCGAGGTCAATTGATGCTGATCAATGCCGCTCCTCAAAACATCAGGGCGGAGGTGCTAGCGAGCAGGACGACAAGTTCGGTTGAGGTCCTGTATGCACTGTTCAGGAGATACCAACCTGGCGGGCTCGCAGAAAGATCTCGCCTTCTTCGACAGCTGGTGGAACCGAAGGCTCCTCAGTCTATGAACGAGGTGGTTGAAGCACTTCGAGGGTGGAGGAGGAGCTTGAGGCGAGCGCAGGAGCTGGACATCGCGACGCCGGATGCCACGCTACTGCTGGGAGCCTTGGACAAGATGACGGAGTTGGTGGGACGGACGTCCAGCCAAGTGGCTTTTAGAATGTCGTCGACTCGGGCGACGTTGGGAGTCGATGTAACACCCACTCTGGAGACGGTGTTGAGCTTCTCGGATATGCTCACGGCCGAGGCAGAGTCCCTGGCCATCAGCGAATTACAGCCGATCCAGGAGACCAAGGTCGCCCCTCCTACTACCAAGGTCAAGGCGATGACCGCCGCCATTGAGGAGAAGGTGGAGAAGGGCACCGAGAAGTCAAAGGGAGATGGGAAATCGGAGGAAAAGGTCTGCCGGTTCTGGGGGTCCGACGATGGCTGCCGGAAGGGACAGGAATGCCGTTTCAAGCACGATTGGGGAAGCTTAGAAAAGAAGGGTCGATGTTTTGGATGCTCGTCAACC